GTATTTGCTTCGGCCTCCCGGGGCGCACTCGACCGATGATCGGAAGGCCCAAGGGGTCCTGCAGCACCGCCTCCCTGCCATTTCGCCACTGGAACCGCAGCACGCGCGAGTAGTTTTTGCCTCCCCAGTGCGTGTTGTCAAAGTTCTGCTCCGCAATGTACAACAACCGGGGCTGCAGCCGCAACTTCCGAAGCTCACGGAGTCGGTCCTCCCCACCCGCGGCCTCCACATCATCCTCCACCTGCACCACAACGGCAATGTGGCCCTCGGGCAGGTCGCGTTCTTCCATCGGTGACCACACAACGACGTCAAAGACCCGTGGCGCAAGGCGCTTGCGTTCCTTCGCCGTCGTGGCCTCCGCGGAGTTCAGCAGCTCGAGAGTTTCGTACTCCCGTTCCCTCACCATGGGCCCGTGGAACTCAAGCGCCAACCAGTACTCGGGGGCATCTGGCGCCCCATAGATGAAGGACATGCCTCGGTGCAGATAGTAGGTGCGGGCAATGAACTCCGCCGCCACCCAGCGGACCCCGGTGCTGCGGGATCGCAGGGTCCCCAACAAAAAAGGCTCCTGCCGCACGTCGTGTGGATGCTCAAGTGTGACAAACGCCTGCGACTTCGAATTCCAGCGCCGGTGGCAATTGCTGAAGGCGGGAATGTCGAGGGCATAGCCGAGTAAAGTGCCGTGGGGCGTAGCGCAGTGCGCTAGCGGATCGAACCTGGACCGCGGCGGATGCAATGCCGGCCCCGACGTGTCGCGCCACCAATGTAAACCAAGAGTGACGCAGACAAGGAGGAACAGCAGCAACACAAAAAGCGCGAGGGCGGAAAGCCCAAATTGTTTCTTTCGAGCTGTGTGAATCATGGTGGACTACGCCTTTGTGGTAAAAGGTCTCAAATCCTTTTCTCACCAAACTGCCGCATAATAAAAAAGGTAGGAAAAAAAGAGCAACTACACGTTGGGCGTATATTATAGTAGCACGAAAGCATGTGCACATGGATGTGTGGGATTTGTCACACGGGAAAAGAAGCATGCACCTTCACGATGCAGAAAGAAAGGCCCAGGTTTGTAAAAGTAGTAGCGTCCGTGTTTCTTTGTGGAAAAAATATATTCACATAAGTTCAATACCTAAAGTAAAAACACAGCAAAGAGAAAAGAACAAACATATAATAATAATAAAAAATAACCACCACCACCACAAAAACAACAATTTTTTTCTTTTTATAACGTTTGCTTTAACTGCGTGGCGAAGTTCTCTACCGGTGTTAAAGATCACCACCATCCTCGTCTTCAAAAATGACGGTACGCTTGCCAATTCGAACCAGCCCCAAAACTTTAAGGCCCAAGGGGTCCTGCAGCACCGCCTCCCTGCCATTTCGCCACTGGAACCGCAGCACGCGCGAGTAGTTTTTGCCTCCCCAGTGCGTGTTGTCAAAGTTCTGCTCCGCAATGTACAACAACCGGGGCTGCAGCCGCAACTTCCGAAGCTCACGGAGTCGGTCCTCCCCACCCGCGGCCTCCACATCATCCTCCACCTGCACCACAACGGCAATGTGGCCTTCGGGGAGCTCATGCTCCATCTGTGCAGGCCACACAACAATGTCAAAGACCCGTGGCGCAAGGCGCTTACGTTCCTTCGCCGTCGTGGCCTCCTCGTAGTTTGCAACTCTGACTGGTTCATACCGTCGTTCCTTATCACGTTCCGCTGCTTCTAGCGGGTTGAAGAAGTACGGGGTCGACCACACCTCTTGAGGTGTTGGCATCTCAAAATATTTGATGCCTTTGTAATGAAAGAGAATGCGGGCGGTGTACTCCATGGACGACCAGGGGCTGCCCGAGCAGTAATTCCCCTTGGAACCATCGTTGTGGTCGGCAACAAGCTCTGGATAACCAAAACGTGTAATTACGAGTCGTTCCGCACTGTAACTGCTATGGCAGTTGCTAAAAGCCGGGACACTGAGAGCATACCCAAGAATTGTGCCATACCTCGTGCGACAGTGTTTCAGTGGGTCAAACAGCGGATTCCCCTCCGCCGAAAGAGGGTTCCTTTTGTTTCCCCTCCATCCCCATAGAAGTAAGACGCCGCAAATCAGCACAAACGCCAAACATGCAACTCTTCCAAGCGATTTGTTTTCCACGAATCCGGCAACCATTGTGTGTTGTTTTTGGCTTCTACTCAAACAATATCCCAAGAAAAAAAAAAAAAAAGATATCCACATCCCCGCTTGTAAAAAAAAAAAAAAGATGCATACGGGGAGCATGGCCCTATTGCTGTTTCACGTCCACACTCACGTGCTTGCTCAGGAAGACACCGGCGTACACGTGCTCGCTGCTTTCCAAGAAAGGCTTCGCGGCGTAGCAACAACAGAGTCCGTCGCACGCGGCTCAAACGCCGATACACGGTGCGTCAGAGATCGTCTTCCACATCTGTATTTTGCTTCGGCCTCCCGGGGCGCACTCGACCGATGATCGGAAGGCCCAAGGGGTCCTGCAGCACCGCCTCCCTGCCATTTCGCCACTGGAACCGCAGCACGCGCGAGTAGTTTTTGCCTCCCCAGTGCGTGTTGTCAAAGTTCTGCTCCGCAATGTACAACAACCGGGGCTGCAGCCGCAACTTCCGAAGCTCACGGAGTCGGTCCTCCCCACCCGCGGCCTCCACATCATCCTCCACCTGCACCACAACGGCAATGTGGCCCTCGGGCAGGTCGCGTTCTTCCATCGGTGACCACACAACGACGTCAAAGACCCGTGGCGCAAGGCGCTTGCGTTCCTTCGCCGTCGTGGCCTCCGCGGAGTTCAGCAGCTCGAGAGTTTCGTACTCCCGTTCCCTCACCATGGGCCCGTGGAACTCAAGCGCCAACCAGTACTCGGGGGCATCTGGCGCCCCATAGATGAAGGACATGCCTCGGTGCAGATAGTAGGTGCGGGCAATGAACTCCGCCGCCACCCAGCGGACCCCGGTGCTGCGGGATCGCAGGGTCCCCAACAAAAACGGCTCCTGCCGCACGTCGTGTGGATGCTCAAGTGTGACAAACGCCTGCGACTTCGAATTCCAGCGCCGGTGGCAATTGCTGAAGGCGGGAATGTCGAGGGCATAGCCGAGTAAAGTGCCGTGGGGCGTAGCGCAGTGCGCTAGCGGATCGAACCTGGACCGCGGCGGATGCAATGCCGGCCCCGACGTGTCGCGCCACCAATGTAAACCAAGAGTGACGCAGACAAGGAGGAACAGCAGCAACACAAAAAGCCACGGATACTTGTCGTTGAGCTTCAGTAAATGCAGAGACAGTCACATCCTTTGGGACAGCAGCGAACGTTCTTATCGTTCCACCAAGCAAGAATATGCGCAACGTGGCCTCCGTGTCCACAGCGAACACACTGAACAATGATACAGCCGTCTTTTCTTGCGGAGGCCGGGACCGCATCATCACCACTTCCAAGGCCCGTGTTGAACGGATTACCGGTGGCGGTGCCATTTCCCCGTCTTGTGTCCCGCAGCAAAGGCATCCCGCAGACGGCACATTCGGTGATAGGTATTTGGTACACAGGTGGGATTTTGCCACTGTTGCTCTTAGATTCCTCACAATCCACACTTTTCCTGATGAGAGACATGGGTGGCTTTTTACAACGGTATGCGCTAAGAATGGCGCTCCTTGTTAGTTCTGCCTCACGAAACTTGTTGGTCGCCCCTACCGTGGAAAATATCATAGCAACTATCGATACACAACGATAACACTCCACGGGGTCAATCAAATGAGCGGTGATTTCAAACGGCATGGGTCGGTCGTTTAGGATCGCCGGCAATAACACGCAGCAGAGAGCTACCCCCGCCCAAAACGGCTTCCTTTGCTCCTGCATGCTCTTTACAAGCTCATGTAACGCGGGAGCTAGCAGCTGCAATGCATACCGCGAAGGTGCATGCGGCGATACCCCTTTTATTAAATGGCGCAACATTAGAAATGCATTTGAGACATCTTTGAGCGCCTTTCCCTCCCGCAAAATCAGGGCATTCTGACACAAAGCCACAGATGGGTCATTTGCATAAAGACAGATGTCATTCAGTTCGTAGACTCCTGTCCGCAAAATGTTACTCGAAACCAGCAGAGAAGGTAGCACCGCTCCAGCCATGTCGCTTCGGACCGAGGTAATTCGAAGCGCTTGCTGTGCGCGTCGGCTTTGCAAGTGGTACTGATCATCTTGATTATGATACCCAGGCCGTCCAGATGTCTCCATGTAGCCCGTGCAATACCCGCTCCAGCTTCCCCCACATCTTTGTGGTACCATTTCATGGGACGCTGTTCCCAATATTGAGGGATTTGCCGTGCCAGTGACCGTGTTGCTCTTCGCCTCTTCCTTTTTTTTCTTTGCAATTTGTGGAAGCTGCCGCAGTCCCCATGCGACTACATCGCCACGGGGCATGAAGACAGCCGCGAACCCACGTCCAGGATTTTGCACTCTGTTTCCCCCGACCTCATCCAGAAAATGCACCCCACGACCTTGTCGGATGTAACTGCGACTACCCGCATCTTCCTCTAGTAAGACCATACTCCCACTGGAGATGTTGCGAAGTATAAAATTCTGACGCTCTGAAATGATGCAACCCACATCGAGCTCCAGTGCAGCCCACCAACTACAGAGAAATGCAAAATCGGATAAAAATGGCGACACGACAACTCCGACGGCGCCCTTGTTACTATTGCTATTGTTGCCATTGTTATGGCTATTGTCTTGTTTAGAACAGCTGCTGCTATTTTGCCTCTTTTTGTTATTGTTGTTGTTTCTGCCGCCGCTGCCCAGGCCTGGATACATTTCCGCTAAGGTGGTGCCTGTCGATAATTCCGTTTGAGACCGCAATGTTGCGGTGTCACCCCGTGATGAGCGGTGATACGTGGCACCACCACCACTACCTGCTTCCCCCACGTACGCAGCGAGGTACGTTTTTTTTGCCTTTGGCAGGCGCGACAGCACCTCCTCCATCAGAAATGACTGGAGGCGGACGACCCGATAGTCGACATCCGTGCTGCTTTGTGCTGGAAGCCCATCCACCAGCCGCCACACGCAGGGCTCTTTAGGGTACGCGACGCTGAAGAAAACTTCCCACTCCATACGCACTATAACGGATGCGGGGTGTGGGTTCGCTTGCCTGTTGCCTGCAAAAGCGCGCTCAAGACAAATCGTGACCACTATCGTTCCATTCGAATGCGGCAACGGATCACTCACCGTGATAGGGAGAGAACCCGATGCGAGGGGTAGCGTGGGTCTCCCAAGCGCAGGGGTCTCCGAGGATGCTGCAAGGCGTTTGGCAACTAAAACATCACGGTGGACCGCATCCACACACAACATTGCTGTCCTGTTAACTGCCTACGCGCGCTTTCTTGTCCTGCGTGTGTGTGTGTGTGTGTGTGTGTGTGTTCTGCAACCCCACCACTCGGAATAGCGAGTATCAATTCGCGGATTACACGGCAGATAAAACCACCGCCAACAACGTCTCCAAAAGAAACGTCAAAAAAAATGTCCCAATTTGTTTGCTTCCTTTTCCGCTGTGCGCGGAGTTAACCACAAAAACAACAAAATGAACACATAATAATAATAATAATAATCGACACAGCGACAACTAGAAAAACAGCAACAAATAAATAAATATACGTACACACAAACATATCGATATTCATTTCCCTGACGCCACTGATATGTGTTTTTCAAAACCCCACCATTTCTCCCCACTCTGGCAGCAACACCCTCCTCCTCTTGCACCGCACGGTGTTTAAACGGCACCTGCATCCAATTGGTTTGCGGCATCTTTTAGTTCCGTGTTTGGCGGAGTCTTCGGGCCGTGACTCCCTACCCCCAACCCCCTTTTCATACACCCTCACACCTCTCTTGCTTTGTCCCCACCCACTCTCACATTCTGTTTGCTCAGAATTCCTCTATTTTTGGCTCCGGGCCGTACATAATCTTTTCTCCAAACAACGACTTCATCTGCCACTCCTCCCGCAAGCGTTCCTCAACCTTAGGCTCAATGAACTTCTTGAAGAACCACGATCGCCGCACCGAGACCTGTTTCCAGTAGTTATGCAGTCGCACTTGCGACTTGACGTAAAACTTCACAATGGACTCCTCGAGCACCTCCAGCATGGAGGGACCGGCGGCGGAAAAATACATCTCCTCCGCCTCGAGCGCCGTGACGGGCCGAGCCTCGTCCTTGCGACGCTTCACCTCCCTCTCCACCGCCATGTACAATTCCTCGCGAAAATCGGCGGGAGGCTTAAACTCCAGGTCCGTCCAGTGCCCGCCACTAAATCCCTTCACCTGCGGGTAGCGCACAAGATTTTTTGTCAGCTCCGGTACCTCGTCTTTGTTGATCTCGTAAAATTTAAGATTTGGAAGTCGGTCGGCGCTCTGGTGACAGAGAAACTCAAAGCTCTTGTCTACGGCGTTGCAGGCGGTACAACGATTCTGATGGTACCGCACCACCATCACATCATCACTTTTCGTGAAGTACTGCAACTTTTCCCGCATCTCCTCCACGGAGCGGATAGGCTTGACGCACTTTGTAGGGAAGTTCGTCCATATGGGGTTCAGCGCGCGTTCGTTTTTTGTGCTCAACCCACTACGGATCCCCGCGCTGTTCATCATGAGTGACTTCATTTTGTGTGAATGGGACTGGTAGAGCTCGAGCTTCTCCCGTCGCTGTCGAATGCCCTCCACGACCCCTTTTCCATCGCCCCCCGTGGCGGGTGCATCCCGAAAAGGATCGCTACTCATCTTCTCCGCTCGTCCCAATCAAGGGAAAGACCGGCGTGTGATGAAAACTACTCGTTTTTTTTTTTTTTGTATGTGTGTGTGCGGTGGGCATGGCAGCGTCAATAGACAAACAAAAGAAAAAGAAAAAGAAAAGGAAAGAGTGCCTCACATACACTCACACAGAGAGACAGAAAAAAAAAGGCCAGCAAACACACAAAGGGTGAGTGGGTAACAACAACAAAAGAAGGCAGACACACACAAACACAGAGAGAAAGAAGAAAAAAAAAAGACGTACATAAGAAAAAAAAAAAAAAAGGAGGAACAACAACGAAATAAAAGTGTGAAGCCCATCCCACTTCTCCTCCATTTATTTATTTTTGCATACTTTTATTTTTTGGTTTGCCCTTCCCCCCCCCGCTTTTTTACATATTCACGCCGGCAGGCACAGACGGACGTGGATGTGGCCACCGTGACGGAGCACATGTGAATTGTGTGAATATTTCCCTTCGCGAACAGGAGAAGACCACAAAGAGAAAAAACAAAAACAACAAAGAAGGAAAAAAAAAAAAAAGAAACGGCAATGACGAAAACGATAACAACATCCTACACCTACACCTACACCTACACCACCACACACACACAAATAAATAAATAAATAAATAAACAAATCTCTTTAAAAAAAAAAGGAGGGATGCGTACAGGCAAATGCAAGTAACCAAGATATGTAATAAAAAGGGGAGGAAATGAGGCGGCACGGGAAAGGCGGATGGACAGGGATGAAAAGGAAGAAAGAAGAAAAAAAAAAAAAAAAAAGAAGGAATGAGAACAATTGAGTGAAGTAACAACAATTTTTGTGTTTACCTTCGTTTCTGAGCAGAACAGGGCGACCCCATTATTTATTTATTCATATCTTCTTCCTTTGCTTTTAAAATGACTTTCTTTCCTTATATACATGCACATGTATGTATGTATGTTTCCCCACTCCCCTTGTCTGCGTTGTTGTGTCAATATGTGCCTCATTCCCTCAACATACGTTTTCTTCTCTCCTTACTTCATTTGATTTTATTTTTACATGAGAAATATCTACTTCTTGCCTGTTGCACAGCTCCCCTCTCCCTCCACCCAATTGTGCTGTATTGTTCCTGCCAATATTCCCCATTTTCCTTTTTTTTTTCTTTTCTTTTCTTTTCCTTTTTAATTCAGCTTCCCTTCACCATTCTTCGTTTGTCTTCCTGTCAATTCACTGCCATCCTCCCACGCAATCCACATGAAACCAGCACATAAAATAAGTTAAAAAACAATCCCCACGCACAAATACCAAAAGGGATAAACAAACAAACAAAAGAAAGAAGAAAAAAAAAAGACGTAAATAAATATGTTTACATAATCACTTTCAAGGCAAAAGATACAAATAGTAAAAAAAAAAAAACAAAAAGAGAGAGAGAGAAAGAGAAAGAAATATGAAAGAAAATTAAAAAAAGAGGTGGTGGCTGGTAGAAGACCCAGACAAATCCAAAATGATTTTCTAAGAGCGGCAATTCACCATCCTCCTCTTCTTTTCTCTGTCCATATGTGTCAATGTATATATATTCATACATACTCACTCACACAGTTTAACTTTCGAGTATTTCGTTTATAGATGAGCAGCGATGGCACGTCGTCCCTACTGGCCCACCACCCTCCAGCAAATGTGCACTGCCGCATCGCCGCTTTTAGATCCCTCACGTCGGCTCAGCGTTCATCTTTTTCGTTTCATCCACCGATTTTCCATCTTTCTTTCACGTCTTCAACGAGGAAAACAATAATAATAATAATAAGGACACTTTCTTAAACTAGTGTGTTCGACCTGGGGATTGCTAATACTCGTCGTGAACATGACTAGAGTCTTTTACCATGTGATTCTCACTGAGCCCTTTTTTATTGCTCTTTGGGGACGAAGTAGAAAATTTGGCTGATTTATTTAAAGATACACCTGGACTTAACCCATTAGCACTGGCGGTCACTTTTTTTTTCTGGTTTCCCTTCAGTTTTCCTGAAGCATCACCCAACTCGTGATAAGGGTCCCCCCGCCCACTCTCATCCGAATCTGAATCACCCGAACGCGAACTCGTACTGCTACGAGATATGGAGGAACTTGAAGAAGCCTTATATTTCACCTGTGTCCGGATCTCCTTTGACGAGAGCACCGCGGGCCGCTTCTTAGCGGAAGCGGGTGTTTCGGACCCATAGTCATCATCGTATTCGTCATTCCTTGGCGTGGTACGCCTTGCATTCACCACAGCCTGGAACTCCTGTGACGAGAGCACCGCGGGCTGCTCATTAGCGGAAGCGGACGTCTCGGACTCATAGTCATCATCGTATTCGTCATTCCTTGGCGTGGTACGCCTTGCATCCACCACAGCCTGGACCTCCTGTGACGAGAGCACCGCGGGCTGCTCATTAGCGGAAGCGGACGTCTCGGACTCATAGTCATCATCGTACTCGTCATTCCTTGGCGTGGTACGCCTTGCATCCACCACAGCCTGGACCTCCTGTGACGAGAGCACCGCGGGCTGCTCATTAGCGGAAGCGGACGTCTCGGACTCATAGTCATCATCGTATTCGTCATTCCTTGGCGTGGTACGCCTTGCATTTACCACAGCCTGGAACTCCTGTGACGAGAGCACCGCGGGCTGCTCATCAGCGGAAGCGGGTGTTTCGGACTCATAGTCATCATCGTACTCGTCATTCCTTGGCGTGGTACGCCTTGCATCCACCACAGCCTGGACCTCCTGTGACGAGAGCACCGCGGGCCGCTTCTTAGCGGAAGCGGGTGTTTCGGACTCATAGTCATCGTCGTACTCGTCATTCCTTGGCGTGGTACGCCTTGCATCCACCACAGCCTGGACCTCCTGTGACGAGAGCACCGCGGGCCGCTTCTTAGCGGAAGCGGGTGTTTCGGACTCATAGTCATCGTCGTACTCGTCATTCCTTGGCGTGGCATGCCTTGCATCCACTACAGCCTGGAACTCCTTTGACGAGAGCACCGCGGGCCGCTTCTTAGCGGAAGCGGGTGTTTCGGACTCATAGTCATCGTCGTACTCGTCATTCCTTGGCGTGGCATGCCTTGCATTTACCACAGCCTGGACCTCCTGTGACGAGAGCACCGCGGGCCGCTTCTTAGCGGAAGCGGGTGTTTCGGACTCATAGTCATCGTCGTACTCGTCATTCCTTGGCGTGGCATGCCTTGCATCCACTACAGCCTGGAACTCCTTTGACGAGAGCACCGCGGGCCGCTTCTTAGCGGAAGCGGGTGTTTCGGACTCATAGTCATCGTCGTACTCGTCATACCTTGGCGTGGTACGCCTTGCATTTACCACAGCCTGGAACTCCTTTGACGAGAGTGGCGACGCTGCCCTCTTTTTTGCGGAGCGGGCGGATGCCGCAGATTTTTTGTTGCTGTTATACTTGTTGTTCCGCTGCCGCCTTCCATTTCTTCTGAATCTGCGCGATGATGACGACGAGGATAAAGATGAAGAAGATGTGGATGCGGTGAAGTTACTGAATACATCGGCCTTCTTAAAAGACTTTGGTTGCGCTGGTGCTTCCGTCCTCGTGTCAGCCTCCTGCGGGTATTTACACTTTATCGGTGTGTTTAGGGAAGATTGAGATTCGCTGGGCCCCCTCTCTAGTGTGTCTGCCGCTGCTTTTGCTGCGGCGGCCCTTATTTTTGCCGCCGCGACGGCTTTTGCTGAATTTACTCTTTTTTTGTATGCTGACGTGTCCGCTTTTGCCGTCTTCTTCGTTTCTGTGGGCATCTCCCTGGATGGACGATGATGCACGGCTGTGTGGAGAGATGATTCTTGGTTGGCTTTCCTCGCACTCGTTTGTCTCTGCGAAGGTGGGGTTTTCTTACTGTAATCCATAATGGCGCCACAAGATGCCGTGGCGGGCCGATTGTTGGGTGCGGAAACGTCATACCCTCGTCCCCATGATCGGTTTCTACCGCTGAAGGATCTGTTGGCCTGGGGAGGATGTGGCTGACGACTTCTCGCAGAACGCTGCCGCTCCTGCTCCTCTTCCTCTATTTCTCGCCGCTGCGACGCGTATCCCTTTTTGGCGGAAAGATCCTCTAACTCTCGCCGCCGACGTCGCTCAAAACGCCGACGTAACATCTCGCGGCGTCTCCGCTCCAGCCGCCGTTGTCGTTGCAACTCATGCCTTCGTTCGGCGAGTTCTCTTATGAGCACCTCACGGCGGGCCCAGTACTGCGCCAGGTGTGGATCCTCAAGGTCGTTGTACGGCGGCAAGAACCGATCCTGCACCGGGCCCAGCGAAAACCCCACTTCTCGAGAGAGAAAACGTATTGTGGAGGATTGAGCCGTCCCTGTTGTTGTTGTTGCTGTTGGGACTCGCGCGTTCCCCTCCGGAGGGGTGAGCGGGGTTTGTAGAGCCGTCCGGGGACGCCCAGAGCCGTTGTACGCATCACGCCCACGCGGCGACAACGGTTTAATGGGCGGCAATGCCTTTGACATGCTTTCTCCCTTGGCTTCTTCTTGGCTACTACTCCTACTGCTGCTGCTGTTCCTCCTGGCTGCTATGTAATTTGTATTTATAAATAAATAAATATATTTCTGCCTGTCTGTCCGTGTGTCGGCGATGAGGAGGCAGAAAAAGAAAGCACGCACACAAACAAACAACCACCACCACAACAACAAAAACAAAAAAAACGGTTTCTCTTCTCTCGCTTTCTTTCCCTCTCACCCCTATATGCCTGTATACCTATGCGTCTGTATGCTATCCTGTTTCCCCTCACGGCTCAGCCAAACGTCGTGCGCAAATGCACACGAAAAGAGGGATAAGCGAAGAGCGGCCAAAAGAAGAAAAAGAAAAAAGAAAAGAATGTGTCTTCATTTCATCCAACGGTAAAGGGAAAGCCAAACACACAGGCACAACAACAACAACAACAAAATGGTAGCTTTAAAAAAAAAAAAAAAAGAGAAAAAACAACAAAAAAGATTACAAGAACTGGTGGGCGTGCAAAATGACGCACACGTGAGTATACATACACGCAAATAAAAAAGAAAAAAAAAAAAAGAAAAAAAAAAAAAGAAAAAAAAAAAGAAAAAAGCAGTCGAGAATAATTACCAGCACACATACACACACATGTAGGCACATTTTAAATCCCATCACCCATCCATTTCTTCATCTGTTGTCAAATGTCTGTTTGTACATCTCCTACAAAAAAAAAAAAAAAAAGAAACAAACAAACAAGTGAGTAAAAAACAACAGAAAATAAATTTCCGTCCACCTCCACCTCCTTCTTACCGGACTTCATTTCATTTCATTTCATTTCTTTTTTTTTTTTTTTTCTTCTCTCGTTTTTATTTAACAATAAAAATATCAACATGCCTTATTTCCTCTCCCCTCCAACACTTATATAAAAATATAAATAAATGTATATAAATATGTATGTACATTTACATGTATATTAGTAAATCCTTCCATTCAAATCATCACCGCCGTCCCCCACTTTCCCGCACTTTTTTTTTTTTTTTTGTTGTTGTTGTTGCTGCCGTCGCTCCTCCACTCCCGCACGGCAAAAGGGAAGTGAAAAGCGCAAACGAAAAAAAAAAAAAAAGACGCCCTTCGCTCCCCTCCCTTCAGTCCCAAAGCAAAACAACACACACAAAAAAAAGCAGCGGGGAGATGGGGGCGGCAATGAATCTCGTGACGGCAGCGGTTAGGGCACAGAAGGGAAGGGAAGGGAAGGGAAGAGGGGTTCAACCCCGCCCACAGCTGGAGACACGGTACATCATATACATGCAGGTGTCATGGGTGCCCGGGTGTACTGTGGGGACAAAGAGGCATGGAGAAATCCACCGCCACCTCAAACACAC